CTGTCTTTGACATATTCATATTGAGGCCCCATTTTTCATATTCTTTCTTTACATACATTACATACAGTTAAATTAAAATCTAAATTCAGAGTTAAAAATATTAGCACTCAGTTCAGCGAAGTCGCTAAAATGTCCAAAAAGCCGATAAAAGATCTTTGGGCTTAGAAATTGTATTTTACAGACTCCACACTTAAAGAAATAGCTCAATGCACAAAAAGATACCTTGCAAAAATTAAAGCTTGGTATACTAGAGACTACAAGGCAGCCTACGACTTTGTGAATAGTAGAGAAATGTTCAAAGCAATTAAAATACTAAGAATACCAAATCAGTTAGTAAATCCTACAATACTAACTCTTTAAAAAGTTGAATGTAGAGTACGAATTTAAGGGGAACTGTCTGAACCTTTTAAAACAAATAACGGGCTGCGCCAGGGAGACCCTCCCTTCTGTATACTGTTTAATTTGGTTCTGGTAAAAGTAATATGTATGTCACAAATAACAACCGCTGGTTCACTATATCCCGTGGATTGACCGAGTCACAAATGAGGAGATCCTTAGAAGAATGAATGAGAACCGAGAGGTACTGACCACCATTAAATCTCGAAAGTTACAATTCTTCGGACATATTATGCAAATTGAATCCAGATATGCTCGCCTTCAAGCCATCCTGCAAGGCAAAATATTTGGAAAGCGAGGTCCAGGAAGAAGAAGAACATCTTAGTTGAAAAACCTCAGAATCTGGTTCAATACAACATCTGTGTAGCTTTTTCCGCGCTACTGCAGATAAGATAAAGATGGCCATGATGATCGCCAACATTCGTATTAGATAGGCACATCAAGAAGAAGAAGGTTCACTATATAATAAACCAGTGGAAATCCTAACAAAAAGAGAAATCATACGATTTCTACCTGGCGAAACTGAATTCAAATTTTGACAACTGTGCTTTCTAAAATTTGCAAATCAAACAGTTTGATAAATTACTGGGCAAGGGAATCTAGAAATTGCATTCAACATGCCGTTCACTGTGGTCAGAATTCGTAGTGAATTTAGTTTCTGGTACTAAAAACGAAGTAAATAAATAAAATATAATGACGGTATGAGATTTTTGTTTCGATACATGGCAGCGGCAAGCCTCTTCTTTTACAACTTCACAAAAAATTTACAAAGGTTATTACAAAAAGGTTATCAATTAAATTTTGCGGATATCAACCAGTAGAACAAGCCGGAGTTCGAAAAAGGTACAGCACCTGTGACCATCTATATAATTTTAAAATCCAATTAGAAAAGACTAACAACTACAATCTCCCATTCTGTCTGGCTTTTATAGATTATGAAAAAGCTTTTGATAGCGTAAAACTGTGAGTAATAAAAGAAGCATTAGTCAATAAGAGGATCGACTCCAGGTAGGTACAGAATATTTTTACGAACAAGCTGAAATGATAGTGACGTTGGGTAATGGAATTGAAACAAGACCAGTAAAAATCAACCGAGGATTAAGATAAGAGACACAATATTTGCAAAATTATTTACAGCTGCCCTAGAAGATTTTTTCAAATCAATAAACTATGAAATTAAGAGAATCCCTATTAATCCATTAGTTCCCAACGTTGCGTAAACGTAAGATTTTTAATTGTATTTTTTTAAATGTATCATCACTTAAATATAATTTTCATTGCTACATTTTATCTAAAACAGGACATAAAATACGAATCTAGTAAAATATTTTGAAATAATCAAAAAGGTATATATTTTCTAATTTAGTGAATATTGAAAAAACCAAAAAAAAATTTTTTCATATTTTTGTCGATGTAATTTCAGTACTAAACATGAACTTATATTTCTGAGATTATCAATTTATTTTGATATATCTATCAATAGAAAAGATAGTGTGTCGTATTTCAAAAATCTTTTTTGGTTTTTGCATACCTAATCGATTTCAATAATGTTGCGTTACGGGACGGTGGGATTTCTTGTAATCGGCGCGGCTATGTTGACAGACTAACGGATTTAGATAATAAAATTTATGTTTTGTACAATAATTCTAATTTGATTTAGAAATTAAGAAGAAAATGCAGTTTGAAGTACTTTCTCATAATCTATCCATAGAAGAGGAAATCGTGCCATATTTTGAAAGAACATATAGTTGTAAGATGTACATAAAAAAAAAAACCAATTAGATCTGGGTTGAAACTGTTGTATTTATGTAGTTCTAAGGGCTATTTATTTAAATTTTTACCTTATGGTGGAAAAACAAATGTTTATGAAAACGAGTTGGGCCTAGGAGCACACGTTGTACGGAATTCGTTGTCAGTGATTGAACGGAACTGGCTTGCTAACCTGAGAGCATGGTATAGAAAGACCTTAACACAGCTATTTCGTATAGCAACCAACAAAATCATCATAGCCAGAATGATCGCCAACGTTCGGAACGGACAGGTACCCTAAGAAGAAGAAGATTGAAAGGAAATCTAATCATCGTATATTTTTTGATAACTTTTTCTCATCTTACAAGCTATTCGGTTTGCTAAAAGAAAAAGGATTTTACGCTACTGGGACGATCCGCGATAACCCTTCATTGTAATAGTACAATAAAAAGTGTAAAAAATATTAAAAAACAAGATCATGGTACTTACGATTTTTCTTATAATTCTGAACAAAGTGGAATGACAATTCTGTAGTGACAGTTGCAACAAATAATATTGTACCAATGAACTTCTAGCAGGTGTAAAAAGATATGTCAGGAAAGAAAATAAAAACCAACTGATTCATCAGCCATAATTGATAGCTGAGTATAATGAACATATTGGTGGTGTTGATTTGCATGATAACGGCATATCAAATTACAGATTAGAGGTAAAAGGAAAGAAATGGTGGTGGCCCCTTTTTATAAATGTGATTGATAGTGTTATTGTTAATGCGTGTAAAATATTTAAGTCTTACATAGCAGTTACCCTTATGAACATGGAAGTACCACTCATCGAAGATAACGTTCAAGGAGGGGGTATATCGGCTTCAAATGATTCAATCAACAATCCTACAAGATTCAATGTGTGTATGTGTGTGGAGTGTAAAATACATCTACATTCAATTTGTTTTGAATCATTTTACAGTAAATAAAAATTTAAAAAATTTTTGTTCTGGCAAATCCCATCGTTGCGTATACGCAACATTTTGTTATTAAAAAACTAAGATTTTTTATTTTTCTTTAAGTATTTAGATATATTTTTAGCAATACAATTCAATAAAAAAAACCAAATTTGTTTTTTCTTCTACTCTTGGGAACTAATGGGTTAACGGAAGATACTTGAACCATCTTAGATACACAGATGATGTAGTATTAATAGCCGATACGTGCCATGCACTAAATACGATATACGATGATTAATAATACACACAGAAATCCTAAAAAAAGGACTAAAAATGAATTTCAGCAAAACTAAACTAATGCCAAACAAAGATGACATACCTATGATAAACATCGAAGGAACAGAGATAGAACACGTAGTTGAATATACATATCTTGGTCAAAATGTCAAGGTAAGACAAGAAATTCAGACTACCGAAATAAGCAGACGTGTAAAAATGGGATCGGCAGCATTCGGAAGACTCTCATACGCACTTAAAAATAAAAATATACCTCAAAGACTGCGAACCAAAGTGTTTAATTCCTGTATCCTGCCTGTACTTACATATGGAGCTCAAACCTGGAAATTCACTAAAATAAACATGGAGAAGATCAGAAAAAATCAGAGAGCTAATCAGACACCGCTGTTTTTGCAGACAGTCTAGAAGCATCGTCAAAGCAGTATCAAATATGGACTACAAATGAACGTTAGGAAAACCAAGTTCATGATACATATAGTAGGAAGTTCAAGCAACATATAGTAGGAAGGCTGGATATCGAGGGAAAACAAGAAGAAATAGTAAATAACTTTAAATATGTGGGAACCTAGGTAAATGAAAACAATGACCAAGGTAGAGAAATAAGACACGCATTGAAATTGCAAGACAAGCATATATAAAAATAAAAACAATGTTTGTCAATCGAGACCTTCCTCTGGATCTGAGGATAAGAGCCTTAAGTTTTCGTTGTATGGAATGGAGAGCTGGACACTAAAAGTGGATAATATAAAAAAGTTGAAATTATTTGAGATTTGGTGCTATAGAAGGATTTTGAAAATACCATGGACCCAACGAGTTACAAATGCAGAAGTGTTAAGAAGGCTACAAAAGGATTGCAAGGTCATAAAGCATAACAAAACGAGAAAACTGAAATATTTAGGTCACATTACCAGAGGTGCGAAATATGAGATATTAAGGCTCATAATGCAAGGTAAAATCAAGGGTAAAAGATCCATAGGAAGACAAAGAATTTCCTGGCTCAGAAACCTAAGAGAGTAATATAATTGCAGCTCAGTAGATCTTTTTAGAGCAGTCGCCAATAAGGTATGGATAGCTGTGACGATAGCCATCCTCCGATAGGAGTAGGAACTACAAGAAGAAGAACAATGAAGACCTTGGCTTGGTTCTAATATTGGTACAAAAAAAAACTTTTTTATATGCAGGAACATCTATGCCATCGATCAAAACGGTTGTAAATTGGTTGACAGGAAAAATTTACCTTGGTTTTTATTTTGTATTTTCTTTTAAAATATATAGCTCATTTGCATAATAGTTAATAAAATATTTATTTACTAGGTGTAGCTGATTTCAAAAGTCAAAAAACTAATTATTAGTAATATATTAACATTCTTTAAAAAATTCACGAGGAATTTAGATGTTAAGTAGTTATTTATATTTTAATGTATTTAAGGTTAGTAGTACTTTAACCTAGAATAATATGTTTTATTAATTTCGCAACAATTAAGCGTATCTTCTATTTAACAATGCAAATTTATTCCTTAAGATTCCTTCTTTGATATAATCAACTGAAACAATTTGAACCATAACATACAATTGAATTTATAAATGTCTATTATTATATAAATATATGTGTTTAGCTGTTTGTAAACTGTTTGTATCAAGACTTAATAAAAATGTTTCGTTTAATAACTTTGATTCTCTACTTTAGTTATTTGTGCCAAGAAGGAGGTAGAAAATGTTTGTTTTTCTGATAAAAAAATATAAGTAATAATTAAAAACTTTTTTAGAATCGTGTTGTGCAGAAAATCCTAAAATCCGATATTTTTTGGGAGGTAGAAAGGTAAAGTGTTCACTACGAGCATAATAATTAATTTTAATGTTGTGTGTATGTAAGTGTCGTTGAAAATTGAACTGCACATAATTAGATCAATCCCCTAATCAATTAATTTTAATCTTTTAAAGGATTTAATAACATCTAAAATGCATATATGGGAAGGCATATTCCAGCATATTAGAAAATATATTTCAATGCTTAAACATTTATACTTAAAATATTTTTTTTTATTTATAACTGCTTCAACCGCAAGGGTTATTAGCAATGATCGATTTTACAGATAAAAAAAAATAAAGGATACAATTAGATTTTGTTAATTAGTTCTGAGGAAACAAAAAAAAGTATGGTACGATTACAGGAATATGACTATGTTCACTTTGAATATTTCTTTATTGTTATAGGTAACTGTTTATATTATCTTTTAAATGCGTATAACTGACATTTCACTAATAAGTGATGTACCGGTAGATCACTATCACACGCGTATGACAAAGGTTTTGGTTACTTCCGTAGTAGGAAATTATGTGTGATCTTGGTGTGTCCTAATCGTAGTCTAGACATGAAGTTTTTAAGATTGTGACACGAATTTGGATGAAATTTATTTCTAATAATTTTAAGATCTACTAAATGGGTATGGTACCCATTTAAGTTATATTATATAATAGATTGAATATAGAGAAGAATTTTGAAGACTGTTGAAATACCTTGGACAGACAAAATAATAAATAGTTTAGTTCTTCGAAGAATGAACAAATAACGGGAGCTGTTGATCACCATCAAGAGAAGAAAGCTGGAATATCTTGGTCATGTGATGTGAGGGAAAAAGTACCGATTGCTCGCGTTAATTATCCAAGGAAAGATTCAGGACAAACAAAGCGTGGGGAGACGTGCACTGGTTCCAGTGCACATCTCACCAATTATTTAAGGCAACAGCTTCAAAGATACGAATAGCAATGATGATTGCCAAACACCGTAGCGGTGAGGGAGTCTCCGGAGAGGAATCGCTAGGATCATCGGTGGAAGTTACATACAATTTGTTCTGTAATTTTGGTTTTAATTTTAGAACAAAGGGATTTAAGATATCTTGTACTTGACATAGAACGTATTTTCTTTAAAAAGTCTATCACTCCTTTAATATCATTCATGTAAGTTCTAGCAACACTGAGAGGATCCGAAGAACCATGCGCATTTTCAAAGAAGTCAACAAGTTCTTTCTGTGTTAAGTATAAGAAGAATTGATTGGTATATTTGGTATGATGTTCTCCTGGGTTTCTGTTGTTTTATTTTTGTTGAGTGTCTGGTTTTTTACTTCGTAGTTTCGGTTCAGCGAAGGCATTTTCGTTATCTTTTATTGGAGGAAGGGGGATATTATTTCAGACATGTTTTGTTTAGGGTGCTGGGATACTGAATGTATCGTGAATAAAATGTATCGTGATCAAAGGTATCCATTTGAGTCTCATTGGGTAGGTCGCAGTTTATCGAAATATGCTTATTTAATTGAAAAGTAAAGATTTTTCTAGACGTGCCTCAGTAAGAGAGAATTGTGAAGAGAAATTTATCGACAAAGGAGCTGATTGTTGTAAGTTTTAGTCTTAGTAGAAGAGTATTCTGTAGAAAAAATTGTCAAAAGGGGAGCTGATTGGTAGACTTTCTATAGGGAGTTTAGATGAACGTTCTTTTGGGTGTTGTTTGAAGGAGTCTGATTAATTTTATTGGGAGCCTGAGATGCAAAATGTCATTGCTGCTTGCATAAGTAGCAAGATTGCCTTTCGATAAAAAAAATTCGATAGTTATTATCCTCATAATTAACCAACATAGAATCAGGTGATTTTTCTAAGTTAGTTGGCACTATAAAAGTGTATCGTTGGAAACTCAAGATATTCTTGAATGCTAAATTTGAAGTCCCTATCCTGAGAAAATCAATTGAAGTTATTAGATGTATACTTAAGCTTCTCAGTTGTTCTTCTATAAAGCTGTACGGCATATTTGGACATACGTGGGAAATAATCAATCGTTCACTTGGAGTTATTAGTCTTGGGGTTTGAATACGTTCTTGCCAAGTGTCTCAGTCGTAATAAGAAGTAAACCAGTATTATAAAAACGGGAGTTCAATTACTAGCAATACTAGAACATTTACAACAAGAGGTGAACCGAACCGATTAGGTGTAACAAAAACACAAGGTGAGTCATCAATACAATGTGGACTAAACCACGAGGTGACTAAAAACATGGGATATAGATCGTAAGGATCTATAACGATCAACGAAACTGTTGAAAACGCTGAATATATTCTTGCAGTGGAAAACAATGTGCCAAAAATTTTGACATTGACAGCGATAATTAAGAACAAATGCTGGATTACAAATTTTGGAAAGAAATATTATGACTAAAGTGATAGTCGAGTACTCAATTGGCTACAATTTCGACATTAACAATAGGCTAGTAGATATTGTAAAAACATACAGTAAGTAAAATAAAGAAAAATAAAGGTAAATATGCAGTGAAGTAAACAAGGAACGCAAGGTCGAATTAAACAAACTGGAAAAGAAGCAAAAATGGACTTCGTATTCTCCTCAATCATTCCCCCGGGGTAAAATTCAAAGCAAGAATGATCTGACAAAAGCTACTAATTTTAAAAATCAAGAAATATCTTCCAGATTGTATTATTGTTTTATTTTAAAAGTGTCAATGCTTTCATTATGTATACAATGTAATCAGTGCACAAGAAGCTTGTATTTATGGAAGAGAAAACTTCACGAATCAAATTCCAAAATTATTGTTGAAGAGAGTAGAGGAACTTGTTTGTTTTGTTTGTGAATGTAGAGTGACAGTGAAGCACATTTTAATTGACTGTCTAATATAATAAATTAAAAGACTATATCACCTCATTCCTAAAACATTAAAAGAACTTCTAGGAGAATCTAAATACGTAGCTGACTTGATAGAATTCTTGAAATCTATAAACTTTTTTAATAAAATTTAATACAATTAATCAATAATTCAAATATGTTATATTATATTCATTATTAGGTAATTGATATTTTGTATACGCCTATGTATATCTTTTTGTATTTTTCTTATGCTAATAACCTGTAGCGTTTACGCTACTGATTAACCCCCTCATGAAATTTCTTATGATACGCCAGCGATCGATTTTTAAATCGACACTTCTCCACTCACGCGCTGGGAGCGCTTTGAAAGGATTGATCGATTTTGTGCGGTAGAAAAGCAGTTTTTGGTCAAGAGGCTCACTAGGCAGACACGCCAACCGGTGAAATTTTTTCACCTTCAAAGTGACGGAATTGGACCAAGGAACATAATTTGGGGGAAGAATAAAATAATAATAATAGTAATAATTAATTTTTTAAAATCAAGAGTCATTTATAAGAGTTCCACATAAAAAGGAAGATTTTTTTTGGCGTGCTGCGGCTCTATATTCCGTCACTTCACTTGAGGATATTCTCTTAAGGATATTCCCTCAAGGACTAGTAATTTTGAATTTCTTAAATGGTTAGCAACTCTTCTGGATTTTGCCGTCACTCTAGATAGACCAGTGACTGGTTTTATGCCCAGACTCACCTGGGATTTGTCCTTTACAGCAACAAACTGATTTAGCCGTGCCAAGAGGAGTTTTTCCTATGGACTTATAGTGCTGTAAAGATAAGTTGTTTGACTGTGTAATTTTTTTGTTACTGTCCATTTTGTTAACTTTTCATATGCATATGATCAAGTGACTACATTTTGATAAAATATAATTTTGATATTATTGGGAGAGGGAAAATACATTACATGTTTTTATTGGGTTTTTAAATAGGATATACAGAGTCTGACCGATTTCACTTGTTGATTTAATATATATTTTTTTAATAGAATACATTTTTGATATAATAAAATTTTGATTTTGGGAAGGGAAATAAATTTCATGTGGTTTTTTTTTAAACATTATATAAAGAGTATTGAAGACTCACTCTTTGGATGTAATATAATATAAGAATTGTAACAGATTTATCACTTTTGATATCTTTACAATATTGTAATTTGTATCTCATTTCAGTAGAACTAATTTAAATTTAAGTGACTACCTTTTTGTGTTAAGACTTTGGCTATGATACGGACTATTCTTAAATTTCTACTGATATTTTATACTTTATTTGGCCAGTGGTAGTGACTATTCGCTTGTTGAGGGGCTATTAGGTCCTATTGTATCTTTACACGACCCACTACCACTGTTATTTAGTTTTGCCTTATATGTAAATTGTTAATACATATATATCGATATACACATTTTTATAAATATATTTATTGTTACTATTTTGAGTTTTATTTCAGTTCTACTAACCAGTATATAATATAGCAAAACAAGATTAGTATTTAGTATTTTGTATTTCAGGTTATTATCTCCAGAATCATTTGCTTCCGGCATTTGTTACTTCAAAATCTCAACTATCATTGAGTTGGCGCCCTTCTTTTTCTCTTCTTATTGTTCTTTTTCTATAAATTTATTCCCAGTGACCTTCTTTAGTTGTATCACGTTTGATATTACCAGGTCTCATTTCGTTTCTTGTCTCATTAGCTCAGTATCCTTGCTATCCGTTTATATCTTTAAAGCCACAATCCAGTGCATTGAAGCTAGCCCGAACACTCACTTGAGATTTAGTGTCTCTTTGGCCATTTAAATTTGTTCCTCTGAGCTTAGCCATATCTTTAGTATTTTCATCACCTCTCTTCCAGTTCTTCTGGAATTTGGAAGTTCTACACTTCTTAAAATCCAATACTCCCGGAGTATTGAGGTTTCAAACCCTAAGTGGTTAAAGCCAAATAAATAAAAAAAAATTCCAAAATGCTTATTTGTGTCACTTATATAAAAAAAACCTCTAATTCGCCTATCTAGTAAAAAATTTAATATTTCTGTTGGTAAACTAAAGAAGAATTTTTATTTAATATTGTTTTGTATTTAGTTTCCTAATAACTATTTTTAAATTAGTTTTAGAGTTTTGTTACATTAAACCATGAACAGTCCTATAAAACAGAATGCTAACCAGGCATGAGCTAATCATTTTGTGCACTGTGTAATTTGTTTACATCCGAAGAAATCTAATGCAGTCTTGCAAAGTTATCCTAACAGTTTAAAGATTTTCCTTTGAATTGTAGATATAGTTGAGAGTTTAAGTTCAAAGATATTAGCAGGTCTAACTGTGAACCATGCCAAAATCATTTTTCTGGAATGATACTTGCTATTGTAGCATAATTTTAAGCTTGTAAAATATTATCGAACCATACAAAAATATAATATAATAGTATGACTGTAGTCATACCGAATGCTCGAAGTATTTATATTTAATTTAACAAATGTTTTAGGTAAATTGGACTGCTGCAATTAAATCTTGTCAAGATGTTGGTATGTCTTTAGTAAGTATTCAGTATAAACAAAAGAGTGACCAAATTACGCAGTTTCTTGAATCAACAGGTAAGTAAAATAAAACAATAAAAGTATTTAGAAAAAGAACAATATTTTAATGTTATTTTAAATTTTAGATCATAATATGATATAATATATATATGATCATAATATATTATATGAATTTATTATGTATATATTATAATTATATTATATTATAATTATACTTATTTACTTAGTACTAAACCTTTCTACCGTTAGGTGTAAGGCTGGTGGAGTTAAGTTTTGCACTGTTGCTTTCACGCTTTCCGGTCTTGTGTTAGATTTCGTGCACTTCCCCATGTCAATCCTTTCTTCTCAACTTCTTTTCTGATTTCGTCTATCCACCTAACTCTTAGTCTTCCTCGTTTGTTTTTCTCTTGCACTCTCGTTTCAAACACTCGTTTTGTTAATCTTTCATTCGACATTCTACACACGTGACCAAACCATTTTAGTTGCCCCCCTACTATTTTTCCGTTTATTGGTTCTAGTTTTAGGTTTTGTCTGATTGTTTCGTTTCTTATTTTGTCTGTCCTCTTTCTGTTTGCTATTTTTCTCAGGAACCTCATTTCCATAGTATTAACTCGAGATTTTTGTCTCCCGGTCAATGTCCAAACTTGCTATTATACATGATTATAGGTCTAACTACTGATTTAACGACTGCAGTTTTTACCTTCTCCGGTATTTCTTTTTTCTCCAAAAATGTTGTATCCATAGTGTTATATAAGCTTCCTGTTCGTCCCTTTCTCTCATTTATTTCCATGTCTTTTTTAACGTTTGATTCAATTAATACTCCTAGGTATTTAAAATGTTCCATTTCTTGTTTTCCTTTTAATTGTATTGCGTGTGTTTTTCTCTTATTCGAAATTATCATTGTTTTTGTTTTATCTGTATTTATTTTCATATTTATGTTTGACAGTTCTTCTTTTTGAATTTCAAGATTGTTCTGTAGTTCTTCTCTGTTTTCTGCTATCAAAACCATGTCATTTGCAAATAGAAGCTCTGATAGTTGAGTCTGTTTCATTTGCCAGTATCCTAATGTCAGTTTTCTTATTCTTCTCTTGGCTTTCTTTATTGCTTCATCCAGTACCACTGAAAACAGCAGTGGGCTCAGCACGCATCCCTGTTTCACGCCTTGACTTGTAGTTAAATTTTCGGATTCCTGGTTATTGGTTTTCACTGTATTTGTATTATTATTGTACATATCCTGTATTACATCAATTGTTATCCTGTCAACTCCTCTTTCCTTTTAATATCCTCCATACGTCCTTTCTTTAAATTATGTCAAACGCCTTTTCCAGATCAATAAAGCATATAATGTATTTCTCTATTTTTATTAATTACTTTCTCACTTACTTGTCTTATTGTGAATATGTGGTCTTGCGTGCTTCGGTCCTTCCTGAATCCACATTGTGTATCTTCCATAGTTGGTTCTATTTGGGTTTTTATTCTTGTTTTTATTATTTTTACGAATAATAATTATATTATATTATAATATTATATTTTACAGCAAACTGCAATCAAATTATAAGAACATTTTTTTATTTAAGGTGTGAACTACGACAGTTATGAAAACGCTATTTGGACTTCAGGGAATAGGCTGCAAGACAAAGTCAACTGGTTTTGGTTGGCTAGAGAACCTGTGAAGTTTACGAATTGGGACACTCAGAACAAAGAACCCAATAATTCTGGGGGAAACGAAGAATGTATAAGCATTTACAAAAACGGAGCTGTCACTGTGTGGAATGACATTGCCTGTAATCGAGAGTATTATCCATTGTGTGAGAAAAACATGTGTTGTCCTGCGACAAATACCGCTCTAAATTAATAAGTTTTAAAGTGAGTGTGTATCGTAACTTTTAAGTATATAATATGTACCAATACATGTTAAACTAATGTTAATACAAAATATATAAAGTAATGACAGTACTTTTATTTTGTGTAAATACATTGGGTTTAAAAATTTGTTGTCAATGTTGTTATGCCCTCATGCATGTATTTCAATAAAATAAAGTTTGGTATAAAGATGAAGAATTTATTAAAATAACATAAACTATGTTTTCTTTTAATATAAATACAGTAGAACCTAGATTATCCGGGCCAGCCCGGACCGAGCCTTCGCCGGATAATCGAAAACACGGATAATCCAAAGACCTCAATTTATTATTTAATTAATTTATTTAGACAAATACATGTGTCAAACGAAGAGCAGAAGCGTGATACATACAACAGACATGTAACAAAAAATAAAAGTACATACATATTATTATTTCTGCATAATGTATAAATATGCTATGAATAAACATTCCATATTTAAAAAAAAAATCATTTAAAAAAATCACTAATTTTGATTTGTTTTTGAGCTTCGTAACTTCTACACATTATAATTTCCTATATGTTTTTAAGCTGAAGTACATGAATTTCATCAGCTCCAGGCTATTCTTCAAAATATTGAATAAGTACATTTACTGCATCCCTTGCTTACCAATGACTTGTCTTAAACGCAATCATTGTCAGCACAATTCTCATCATCATCACTACTTGTGTCAGAACTTTCTGTAAGTTCTTGTGGTCTAGTCATGTAAAGTACGTAAAACAAAAGTGCGAGCGTGGAATTAACCTTCTGCGTTTCGTTTCTAAAAAAAGATGGGGTGCAGATCAAAATATCTCTTTAATGTTTTATAGATCCTACATACGATCCATTCTGGATTACGGTTGTATTCTTTACGGTTTAACATGCAAAACAAATCTATTAACTCTTGACAGAATACAATTTAAATCAATAAAAATTTGTCTAGGAGCTATGATGTCTTCACCAAACCAAGCAGTTCTAGCAGAATCCCAGGAACCACCTTTATTCATACGTAGGCAATTGTTAGCCAACAAACGTCTAATAACGTACAGATCGTTTAATACAACTATGGTTCATAAAATAGGTTTACTTTTGACAGAAAATTTAACAAATCCTTATTGGAGAATAAAAAATTCTCCTCTTCTTGCAGAATCTTTTATCTACACGAATTCATTTCAATCTTATATATTACAGCTACCAAAATTTCCTTTTTACGTACAAGACTTTGAAGTTCTGATAGACAAACCAACCATGATAATGCCCTCCTATTCAGACTTGCCAATTTTAACTAATCTAATATTTAAATCCATACTAAGCAAATTAGGGGAAGATTTAACAATAATTTATACAGATGGATCAAAAACTGTTGAAAGTACTGGTTTCGCTTTTTTTGTTTCAAACAGCAACTATGTTGAGAAATATCGAATTCCTGAATGTTGTTCTATTTTTACAGCCGAGGCTGCTGCTATACAGAAAGCACTATCTTGGTGTGTCACTAATTATTGTGAGAACATCGTAATAGTATCAGATTCTCAGGCAGTATTACAAGCTATTCGTAGCCATCCATTAGATAGTTTTCAAAACTCCATTATACTTGATATCAAAAAATTATTATATGATCTAAAATTCACAAACAAATCAGTTACTTTTCTCTGGGTTAAAGGACACAATGGAGTAATTGGAAACGAATTGGTGGACAGTATGGCAAAAAATACATCTGAGATATCCGAAATTACAAATTTTTACTACTTTAAAGATCTTTTTTCTATCTGGAGTATTGGCAGGGAAAGATGGATGTCAAAATCTAGAAACCATTACTTTTCTATTCACCCATGCTTACCAAAAAATATTTCCCATTTCAATCTTAACTTTAATAAAGTAGATTCTTCGTTAATAACGCGGCTAAAACTGAACCATGGCCTCTGTCCAGAGCATCTGCATACGATTGGAATCTATGAAACTCCTTTCTGTCCTTGTAATAATAAATCTATCGGAGATTTGAATCACTTATTTTTCGATTGTTCTAATCATAGGGAACAGACTCGAAGACTATATTTAGGTTTAATTGATCTCAATATTAGCCTTCCAGTTAACATCAGCAATCTGTTATCTTATTCTGACAAATCTATATATAATATTCTAATCAAGTTTATAAACGATTCTAAAATAAAAATTTAAACATCCTTATAACAATTTTCTGTGGCAAACACAACTTTCACATATAACTTTCTGTAAGATAATCGTCATTAATAATCTGATACCCTGTTTCTTGGCGATCACATTCTATCCCTTCCTGTATTTCGTTATTGTTCGTTTCTTCCAAACCTTTGATTTGCAAGGCTATAGATGCTATGTTTTCGACCGATAGCTTACCTTTATTTACGTGATTACCGTCTTCATCTTCCATATCTTCTAAGGTCATTATTTTATAAAATGATTTTTAATATGATCCGTTTTAACTTCACTCCAAGCCCTAGCTACAGCATAAATTGCCTCGTTTAAATTTAGGCGTTTCCAGAATCCCACAATATCACATACTCCCAACAGTTGAAGCATAAGGTCTTTTCTGTGAAGCCTTTTCATGGCCTCGATAACACCTTGGTCCATTGGCTGGGCAATAGATGTTACATTCGGAGGAAAATATGCTACGAATATGTTCCCATCTGCTGACTTTAGTTGCTCTACATCAGGATGCGATGGCGCATTGTTCATTAACAGTGCAGCCTTTGGTGGAAGATTATTTTCTTGTAGATAAGCTCTAACTTGTGGTATAAATTTTGATTATAAGCTGCCTTTTGATTATAATAATCTATGGGCAGTGTTTTTATATTTTTAAAAAAATCCCTCGGATTTTTGGATTTTCCAATGATGGCTAACCTAAGTTTATGGGTTCCTGAGGCATTACCACAGCATAAAACTGTTATACGGTCTTTGCTTGATTTGAAACATAAAAAAAAATATTTTGAAAAATACTTTATACGTAAAAAGAATTAAAGCTTACCTGGTGCACTCGTTTCTGAGCCTGCAACAAGGGTTCTTCTCGGCATTGCTTTCCAATAAAGCCCAGTTTCCTCTTCATTATACATTTGCTCAGGTTTTAGGTCGTGCTCTGTTATAAGATTTTTAAAATCGTAGCAAAATTCTACCATAGCTACATCATCAGCACTTAATTTCTACCCTTAAACAGCTAATTCTCGCATTCCATGACGTTTTTAAATCTGGAAAGCCTACCAGTAGATGCCGAGAAGGTGCCTTTAATTTTCAACTGCTCGTGAAACTTTTCAGCTTACCATATCGACGACTCCTAAGTATACTGAGTCAACTGCTAGAATAGTAATTGATGGTGAGGAGCAATTTTAATAACAATTACGATATTTTGATGTGTTTTTACGTAAAAATATAGATTTTTTTCTGTGTAAATATAATGATATGAGACTTTTTTATGTGTGTAAAATTATTTTAAATTATTTACTTAATAAAAAGATAATGCATATACACCAGTATACGTCGTAATATTATAATGAATATTGGATCAACTACCAGTTACATTTATATACGCCGTTTCTCGTAAATGTGGTTTAAATTAATAAGATAATTATTTTACGCTAGCTAGAAATTGTCTTACCTTTTCATAATATTTTAAAATAAGTAGGGCTGTTGCTAAGTTATTTATACGATTTTGTTTAAAACTTGACTTACTATACGAGGTGAATAATGTTATAATGTTAAAATTTGTATACTGGTCTAATAGCAAAAATAAAAAAAATAGTATTACTTTTAGCTTTAATAAAAACTTAAAAGTTTATTACAATATTTCTTTACAATAAACAATAAAGTCTAAATGCAGTTATAAACAAAAATAAACAATTTTTGACAAAAAAGGAACATAAACTAATTATTATTTTTAGGTTAAGTAGGAACTTGGTTTATATATACAAGTTGGTATAATAAAAACAATTAAAAATAATTCTTTAGCATAAGATAAACAATGTAACATCTACAAAGTATCAACCTCAGAACTTAATTAGTCTTCATCACTTTCCTCTCTGTTAGAATTTGTTACTAATAAATGGTTAAAAAATAAATGGTATTCTTTAGGAATTACCAAATTTTTACAAAGATCCAATAGATCTTTATGTTTATTTTTGTCAATGGTAATGGGTTTGTCGTAACAGGTTTTTATGTCATTAACATCAAAATTAAACTCTTTTCTTCTTCGTGTAGCTTTGGTGTTGTTTACGCAATCTATTCATTTGTAAGTATTATCTTGATAACTTGTTTTGAATAAAATCTTAAAAGGATTTGCAGCTTCAATTTTTATTTGACATATTTTATTCCATTGCATTTTAGATCCATCACCTGTAGTTGTCCAGTTATTAATTCCTTTTAGTTCTGCTTTAAAGTTTTTAATAAAATCTTGTGATATCTCTGTGACTTTGTACGGCTTATCATCTGTTTTAGCAAATCTGAAAGCCGTGTACCATTGGTCAGGAGTATATAATACTTTGTTCTTGGTCTGTCTTTCTATTAACGCATGCATACTGTCACCTTCATTTTGAGTATGACCAACTATCAAAAAGTGATGCCTGATGTTAATATTAAACTTAGAGCAAGCCATCATGTACATTAAGAAAACGATCCTGTTCCTGTTCTGAACTCCACAGTTATCGGACCAGAATCGATAATCCTTGATACCTGTACCTACTGTGTCTTCTATCAATTTATATATACAGCTAGCAATCTCATTCGCTCCTCTTTTCGCTGTTTGCTGGTGCCATGAGAAGCAGTGACCCTGTCGTGATGCCAGATCAAATACAGTAAAGTTGTATAAAGTAAGTTCTCTTATAGTAAAAGGTACTTACGTTGCCATGAGGCACGTTTAAGCATTTCTGGAGATCATAAGCTGCTGAAAGGATGTGTCCATCCTGCTCCGCTGATTCTTTATCTTTAGCTTTTAATTTTCTAGCCTTATCTTTCTCTGTCAGGTGATGGTCGTGGTTCGCTTTGTCGTTTTCTGTAATGTTTTTGTTGTTTTCAAAAATATGACATTCTTCA